ATCGAGAATGGCGCGATACAGACAAAGCGTAAAATTTCCACTTCAAGTGCATCAACTATCATCGAAAGAGATTTCTCACGGTTCGCTCATTCCAAACAACAGATTACGAGAGAAACCCTTTTTCGAAAATTATATAAAAACATTGGAAATAACGAGCAGACATGTTATAACTATACTTTGCGGCCTAGAGGTGATGGATTATTAGGTAGATATAGGCTAAGATTGACAAATTTGACCTCTGGGAGTTTGAAAAATTTTAGAGAAAATAATTTTTTTTCTTTAGGCCAAATTAACGTCGATGATAAAGCAATAAATTACTTGAGTTCAAATAATTTGAGTGTCCAATCGAACGTTTTTTCGATGTCCACCACAGATTATCATGACAACAGCCCAAGGACCGCTCCAGTGCAATTATCTAACTTCCGTACCACTATGTGCACAGCATGTGCCGGTCATAAAGCTAAATACGCAAACAACAAATTTGATTACAGTTTTTCAAATATAAAATCATTTTCCATCCCCAAAATATCTGTGCGGACAAGTCCATTACTAATTTCTACTTGCATGCCTGTTGGACGTCATAGCATAGAAGCCGAGAAATTTCCAACTGAAAATCATATCGAAACAAATTTAAATAATGTAAAAAAAACCGTATCTCGTTGCACAGTTCACAAAAATAATGCTGTTGGCAATGATGACAAAATGTTTTCTGAAAAATGTGAAGAAAATTCAAATCCTGTAATTATCAATAAACTAGCAAATGACGATCAATTAAAAAATTATATGAACAGCAATAATATAAAAAAAATACTTAATTCTAACATACACAACAATAAAGTTGTGGCAACAAATTTACTTGAGAAAAACACAAAGAAAAGTAAAAGCCAAAAACGTTATTTAAAAAAACAAATGAAAAAAGCTAAGACTGAACATAGAAATATTTCTAATTTTAAAGATAGAACAAAAGTTATAAAGGGAAAACGAAAAAAAACAAAATCAAGGAAAAGATTATCCGAAAGAGTTTTATCAAAATCTTCATCAAAACATTTACAAAAATTAAAAATGAATAATGATCAAAAGGGTTCCGACAAAGAAAAACGGACATATGGTCATTTAGTCAATCACGTTGGCTCAATAAGTGATTTGTTATCAAAAGATTTTCTTCAAATCCACAAACTGCTCAACGAAATTGAAAATAAACGCGAATTTAAACAAGTTAAGGTCACACAAATGCTTTCTCACGATCCAGGAAGAATGTTATTAAAAGACATGGATGATATTGATTCTCTGCTTGATGACATGTACGATTTCAGGGATCATAAATGTGCTGTATTAAATAAAATCATGACAATGCAGGCACGAAAGGATAAAGAGATGGCAAAACTGCAAACTGATTGGAACAAGGCGGCCAACAATAACAGAAATCAACACAACGACAAAGATAATTTTAGTCAAATTAATAACAATAATATTCTAGATGAAGTGGAGTGGGAATGTAGAAAAAACGCTGAGGAGCTTAATCAAGTTTTTTATTTTGTAGATAACATTAGACGAAACAAAATGTTTTTGCTCCAAATAGAGAAAAATAAAATAATGGATAAACAAACCAACAATGAAACTTACTGGTACAAAAAAACACAAAA